TATAATTTGAAATTATTATAATGCTTATGCTTATTTGTTAATATGGTTTTCTAATCACTATGGTTATATAGGTGACAATTTTAGCTCTTCTTCTACCTCTTTTTGGAAAGCTTTAATTAGAGTTGGTAAAAAAAATTAGAAGAGTTGTCTTTTAAAGCTACTAATAAGATTTAATTATTTTTCTATTTTGACCATTGGTTTAATGATCTTTCTTTAAAATAAAATTCTGTTGATTATATTTTTGGCTGGTTTAATATTCTACTTAATATTAAACAGTGTGAGCCTATCAATAATAGTAATTGGAGTTTTTCTCTTGATACTAATGTCTCTAAATTTCACATCAACATTATTTATAATACTTCTATTACAAATGGTAATACTTGCTTTTGGAATAATATCAATACATATTCTCAAAAGGTTATTTATTTATTTTTATATCATAACTTTTCTAATTTTGATTGGTTTAAACTTGTTTGATTCAAAAGCTTTTCTATCAAATAAGTTTTTCATACTTTAAAGATTATTCTCAAAGGAAAAAAATCCTTGTGATATTTTTTCTTTATGGGGTGTTAACATTAATTCTATTTGTGTTTTTGTTCTAATTATAGATAATTCATGCCATCTTTTTTTTTAGTGCTTTTTCTCTCATTATCTTTCAAATAATTGTATTTCATGATATATTATTTATTACCCCTAGTAATATTTTTCAAGATCTTTATCATTCAGATAACATCTGTTACAAAATTAATAAAATGTTTCACCTTCTAGCTATAAAATTCACGACCTTTTATTTAGTTTGAGATAAACTCTCGTATATTAAAAAATATTTAATCTTCAATGAATTTCAATATTTGGAATATACATTGGATTATTATTTATAAGAGCATGATGTGAAGTTAAGAAAATGTTTTCATAATTATATTAGGGTGTTTTATAATTTATAGGGTTTTATTTGTTTTAGGCCTACCTTTTATTTTTGGTTTTGGTCTATTTTTATATGGACGTTTTTCCTTTTAGGCTCAACTATTTTAGTATATCATCTTCATTTATTCTTATCCTAGTTGGATTCATTACGTTTTCATGGTTAGTACTAAAATGCTTTTCTTGTGGATTGCTTTGTAGTTGGCTATTCTGAGAATTTTTTTGTGGATATGATAATGGTTGCGAAGATGATTCTTATGTGGTGATTTTTAGTGTGTTGTCTCTGTCTACTTTCTTTTCTTTGATTTTTTTTTCTTTCTCTAAAATATTCTTTTCTTGATCTTCTTCTTCTTTATATTTTGGTAGAGCTCTCTTATTTAATCACTTTTTGGTGGTTTTTCTTATTTTATTTGTACAAATTTGCATTTGATCTTTTCTCTTATTTTTGCTCGTTAGTTGAGCTATAATGATTTTTAGTCATCTATTAAAATTAAATCATTTTTTAATATCATTATTTTTTGATATTAGATATTCAAATTTATGGATGAAATTTTAATATTTATTTCACAGGTAAATTTCCAAGCTCAAATTGTTCCGTCTCCTCCTTTGTTGTTCATTATGGGGTTTTATACTTTTATTAGTTGACCTTACTCTTTTGATCAATCTTTTTTCTGTGCGTATATCTAATATCACCAGGACATAGAACATCCATTGTAGTGCCATTAAATGATTGAATTGAACTCATATAATTTATAACATGAACCCTACTTGAGCTAAAGCTTGTGTTAATCCTAATTTAACTTAAAATTAAAATCTAATTGAACATAAATTAAAATTAACTAAACTAAAATAGAACCAAGAATAACCAACATTAGTTAAACCGTAAAATGAACTAAAAATAAATAAAAATCAAAATACATGATGAAATTATTATTTTCTCCACAGATCATTGTAGAGCTTGAAACTTCAATCTAAAAGTTGTACGATGTTTATTATCACATAAAAAAAGCCATGCAATTTAGTTGGATGATTATATAACACAATTTTACGTAAAACTTTTCACTTTAAGTTTTCATGCATGAATAGAGCTTTTATCACCCCAAAATTGTTATTTTCTCCATAGATCAATACAGTGATTGTAATTTCATTATGTAAGTTATGTGATGCTTATTATCATACGAGAAGCATGAAAATCAGTTTGATGATGACCGGAAACTCTTCTTACACAAAAATTTTTGTTTTCGATTTTCAAGCATGAAAAATGATTTTATATACATTTTTTTAACAAAGCGTCATTTTTAAAAATAATAAGCAGCCCCACCTTTTCAGTTGGCGTCTCTTACACACTAAAGGAGACCTAACACTGATGTCTTGGAGATCCATATTATCAGTTCTAAGTACGAGCTATGACACATATTACCCAAATATCAAATGATCGACCCCCCTAGTTCAAAATAAGTAAATAGGCATCAATAATCCTCAAGTTAATCCACTAGAGAACATTTTGATAGAAATATCTATGAAGTTGAAATGCCCGAACAATTCAAGGTCTAAACCCTAGAGTCTTATCAAGGGAAATCCAACTTTTCCAATCTGTTTTCTTCGTTTAATTCAACAATATGCTTGCTTGAGATAAGCAATGCCCTGAAATGCCAAATTTTCTTAATGACCTTGAAGGTGTCTTTCCTCTGATGGTTTGATAGTCTATCATTTGGAGTGACTACCTCATTTACAGTATTCAAAAGGATGTTCATAACATAGTTTACTAGTGCATAAAAGCCTTAAAAGAATTCCCATGAACTTCTACAATTATAACACGGGCATGAAGAGTCCCCGCGCACCTTCATAACCTGTTTCCAAAAAGGGATGTCAGATTTGTGAGATCTGAAGTCCATGATCGCCCATACAACTCTTCCTCAAGGACTAAAAGATGGTACTTTTTATTATGTATTAGGTCTGCAGTGCCTAAAATTGTTAATAGAGTTATTGAAACTCAGTAAAAACCAATATTAATAAAAGGATAAAACTTGCCTTCGATTCCCTAAAGGGTTGAATGACTGCACTAGTACCCACTCTTCTGCAGAGTGAATAGAAACTAAGTCACTCTCCGTGACCACCAATGTGATCTAAATATGAGGATAACCATCCCCATGCTTATCTGAGAGCATAGATACTAGAAAGGATATCACTCCTAAATGTGCGAAGGACTCAGAATCTTGAATGGCAGATGAACATTATCTCGAGAGATTTCCTCCTTCGACTTACGTGATCCCCTAACCAACCTCACTTAGGATCTTGATGGTAGAAGTAATAGAAGCTATATAGAATAAGGACTTACTTTAGAAGACTCTTCCAATGAAAGATGAAGTATACACATGTGATTTGAAATGGTATTGGATCTACCACCAAAGCCATGGGCATTATACTAAAAGTGTCATGATCTTTGAAGCTTGATTGAAGAGCTTATCAAAGACAAAAAATTGAAAGAGTTTATTATGCTTGGAGCTATCAGTGGTATGGAATGATCCTGATATAAGGAGACCATAATGAGAAAACCATCGCTCATGCCATACATATCGCATGAATTGTCCCAAAAATTCTCTAGGGGTATGGGGCCGAGGCTCCCAATTGGCAAGCTTGAAGTGAATTTGCTCAAGTGAACTATGTATGACTTCCTCTTCTCAACACCCCCCAAGAGAAATATTAGCCTACTAATGGAAATCCTTACAACGATGCGATTATTGTCACCACACTCATCGCCAACTTCTAGATTAACATCCTCAAAAGTACCAGGAGCTCAATGAACATATTCTTCAAGTCCATTTTTGACAGGATAAACCTTAGATATGAACTCCTAATGGCCATGATTTGGCCATTTTATGGGTTCTCAAGCGAAAGAAAAAAAAAAAAACATTGGAAAACCTAGCTCTTCTTATCATCTAGGAAGAAGGTGACAAATAGTTTAAAACCATGATCGAATTTATCATTTTCAACTCACCAACAACCCACAAAGCCATCTTTGGTCAACCCCTGCTCAATATTTTTAAGGCAGACGTCTTGATTACCACATGTCAATAAAATTCCCTAGTGATGAAGATATAATAAGCATCAAGAGGACTTGGAGCAATTACATGCTTGCTACCTGCAAATTGTCAGCAACATACATCAGGAACCCCTAGAGCTGGATACCCAAAGAGGAAGTGGCTTGGAGAGTAGCAAGGCCATCAAAAAAAGCCATAATCATGAATTAGCTCATCTGATTATTGTTATGATTATCATTATTTATCATCTAAATTATCGTAATCTCGATAGACCACCAAACAAAGTCTAATTTGATTATAGACTTTGATGATCTGAACGCACTTTCACAGTTCGTTTGAAATATGACGATCTGACGAAAAAAATTATGTGGGACTAATTTTCATACATGAAAAGCTAAAGAAAATAAATTTTACGTAAAAATGATTTCTGATCATCACAAACTTATTTGCATGGTCTTGATAATGAAAATCTCATAGCTTTCAAAATAAAATTTTAAATACCATGATATGTGGAGAAAATGATAAGTTCAGGGTGCATTTGAATCTGGTCATTCTATTTATAAGAGTTAAACACCCAAAATTCAAGAAAGTAATTACATTATCAATATTTATTTTTGATTTCGAGTTAATTATCAAAATTTAATTCTCTCATTCGTATCACATCACAACTTCCTAAAATATTTACTTCATATTATAACATTTAATAAAATAATTATAATATTGATAATAAAATGATTATACACTTATTTCAGATCGTATTCACTTTGCTTTTTTACGGTATATTTTTATTTTTATCATATTATATTAAAATTAAAAATAAGAAAAAAAATATTAATATCAATCTTAAGCATGGATAGAAAAATGAGAGTATCTTTTTTATGACAAGAATGCCCACACCAAATGATCTAGAGTGGGATACACCCATATAGGTTTTTCTTATAAAAGCCCAACTACTATAAAATATAAATAGATTGAATTAAATGTAATATTTATTTCCCAAAAATAAATAAATAAATAACTCCAGTTATCAAAGCACATCACAGTAAAGAGAAGATTCAGGAGGTAATATAAGATTGTCATATTCTAATTACAAAAATAAATAGCATAATAAGCCTTAATGTTAAGTTGCTTAGCAGTGCAATCCACCACCAATCCTTTTCCTAATATATACATCTTTTGTTTAAACAGACTTGTGAAATCAATGAGATCCACTGCAAATAATAATTTCAAATGAGTGAATTAGCTATGGTCATCAAAATTCGATGGCGATGCATCGGCGATCTTGAACTACATCGATTGCCGAAAAAATTCTACAATCCATATCAATTTTGATGTTGTGGGAATCAATGACTAACCTGCACAGGCCAACACTGACATCATCTAATAGGAGAGTGCAGTTGTTGAATTCACCATCACCAGGTGGCTGGTTTAGCATGCAGGATTTAGGAGCAATTATGGTGCTCTTTGCAAACTGACATATTTGTTTCGTCAGCATCAGCACGAGTCGATGTTTCCTCCCTAAAAGTTCTGCAACATATGGCATATCACGAGCGGCAAGAGCATTGCGAACACGAGTAGAGGAGACTTGTCCTCGGTCACTAGAATTAGAGGCAACACTTCCTCCATTTTGAAAACATTGCTGGGTCTTGTCCATCACGGAACCTACGATATACGCAGATAAACCGTATTCGTTGCATAATCTTACAAGATCTTTTGCATCGCCAGAGGCTTTATATCCAAATCTATAATTTGCACCTGCCATGGCAATAGAGTGTTTGCAATTGATGGAAGAATAAAAATAAGGGGAACAAAATTTTGAAATTACTGAAAGAAAGCTGATACCTGCAACAACACCACCTACTCTGAGCTCTTTGGATAACCTTTCAACGAATTGTCTGGGAGTCAGATGCCTTACTTTTGCAAAATCAATATGATACTCTAAGGGAACTATGTTACTGCAATAAGGAGCCCAAGAAGAGAGAACTCGTTTCCGATCACATTTTGCAACTATTGGAGGCCTGTTTTCGAAATAAATTTAAATGATCACAATTATGACAAAATAGACAGGGGAAGTTACATACCACACAATTCTTATGCATTTATATATATATATAAAACCAGAACTTTCATAGGATCATAGATGCATAAGCACATGAGTAGCTCGAACAATGCCGGCGAGTGTCATGAGCGTGATAGCAAGGAGATATAGCCAGAGCAAACATACAAAAGTAATGCAAATGCAAGCATGTGGGAAAGGCGAGCAGGCAACTAAGGTGGCGACGAGCGATGAGAGCGAGCAAGCCTGCCAGAATTGAAACAAGGAGGATTCTGTGCTTAGCCAATAGGATGATCTTCTCTTTATAAAAGGAGAAATAATAAACAGGAATCACTAGCCATAAAAGGCAACATTCCTAAGACAAAAAATGTGATTCAAACATGGTACATTATACGTTCAGTTCCATGAGAAAATAATAGTTCAGATTTTATATATTAAAAAAAAGAAATTTGTAGCTAGCTTAATGGAAAGGTATCCAACAGTTCAGTAACATACCTGGTTTCCCAACCAAGCACTTCTGCAATTCCAACAAAAGAAAGCAGAAAAGGAATCCCAGCCTTTGATGCTTGTATCACTAGTTCCCGATGACCCAAATGAAGAGCATCGAACTTGCCAAGCGCAACTATACCACCTAAGTTTTGGTCGAAGTAAACTCTTAGAAAGCATATCATATACATGGCCTATTATTAGCGAGAAAATTACAATTGCAAAACTTCTGTATGCATTCCATAAAAGAAGAAAACATAAACTTGAATTTACTGTAGTTCATAAGAATTAAACTGATCGTGCCCTATACCTGAAGGTCATTAAAGTATGGACGGACAATGCGGAAAACTCAAAAGAACAAATAATACAACCGACTTGTTAATGATTTCCGAAAACTTTAAGTCAGGGTCAATGGAACCATGTTCCAATGAGTCATTTGTGCTGGTTAAGAACTAAGCTATGACAAGCATGCAAGCAGCCAGGCGATTTATAATCCGAAGGATAAAAAAGATAGCACAGGACACAATTTTGTCCAATAAAAACATTCATTTTGTCTTCTACATAAAATTCTGGTTTTATCTTCCCGTGAAAATTAACCCCAAACATAAGATAGATCATGAACATATATAAAATTATAAAACTAATGAAGGTGTCTAGAAATGCAGTACTTCAAACACTTGCTCTAGTCAACGTCTGTGTAAATATCCTAGAGCTCATTACTTTCCAAACTATGGAAAATAATAATAATAAAAAAAAAACAGACACTAATCAATAATGCAATTGTTCTTGGAATATCTTAGAAGAAAAACAATGTAAACTATCATTCTTATCCAGAAGAAAATTATGCACAATATTTGCACACTGTGCCAAATTAGCATGTCTGTTTCTTACTTTGTTACCATCGCAAGAAACTAGCCGGTTTAACAGAATATTAGCCCATAATGGCCCTATAGCAGCAATTGCAGAAAAAAAATATTTAGCAGCTTCACTTCAGGAAGAAGCTGTTCTTGTGCAAACTATGAAGTTAGCAAAAAAATTGAAATTTTGTCCCTCAAAATTCTTTACAACAAAGGCACATAACAGTGACAAGGACATTAATTGCTCTAGCACAAAGTACGAGTGACGAATAAGGGCAAATTGCTATGCTAGATAGCATATCACTTTACTATAGCAAGGTAACAAAGCTAATATTTTTTAGCTTCAAGAGCATAAGCCTAAAAGCTTTCACATAGCAATGAAAATTTAAAACGTAATCAGATCAGAACAGGCACACAAGATAAATGAAAAGGCAATAAAATTCAGCAAAGAAATAATCCAATAGATAAAGAAGTAAGAAACAAATAAAACATCACTTCTAGAACAAGGCTTAGCCATCCAAAATAAAATGTATATAGCAGAAAAGAAAGCAAAAGTTAAAGAAAATAACTCGATAAATTACTATTTCTTTTTTAAAAAAAGAGTGCGCCATAGATAATATTAAATCATTAAATCAATAAAAAATTCCAAAAATATAAACTAAGAAAAAAATATGCATCGATAATTTAAGTATTAAGCAAATCAAAGTGAGATCTCCACATTCCCTACGGACCAATCAATTGATAGTCACTTGAGCTCAATGCTCTGGAATTTGTAGCTTACTTGGCTTTAATTCGACCAGATACTTCAAGCAGCAAGGATAAAAGGATATGCAAGCTTAAAACATTACAAGCAAGTGACAAACTAGAACAGTTTCAGAGAAGCTGTGATACGTGAATGGCACAAAGGAAACCTCGTGATTCAAAATTCAAAATTTCGTGAAAACCATTAGTCCAGCCATTATATAATATCTCAAGTATGATAAATTGTGGAAGAAGCTAACCGTGTGATCCTAAACTTTTTAAACGACAATAATAACTAACATAATAAGCATTTATAAAACACTAAGAAAAAAACATGAACAAATCAGTAAAAGAATACCCACTTTCCTGGAGATGAAACAAATGAGTAATTTTAGTGACATTCAGCTTAATTATGCAAATGTAAAGAGACGCTGATGCCGGAGCTAATATTTTTAGTTGTTTGAGAGGGGGTGCCATAGTTGTAATTAATTCTCCTCTTATTTTCTGTTCTACTTCTGTTGGTGTCTTTTGGAAGGGTGTTCTGGCTTATGTAAGGCAAACTTGTGTTTAGAAAAAGGCCGTGAAAGAGTTTGATAGGTTCTTGTAACCTTGTCCGTTTGCAGGTTTTGAATTGAAGGTTCTGTATCCCAGAACGGCGCCCTGGCTTTGTTCAGATATCTCTATTTTTCCGTCCATTAGAAAACTCTTGAATTGATTTTCACCTGTATATTCGTGACTCTGTTTGTTGTTTATCATCTTCAAGCACCTTGTGTTGTTTTTCTCTGTTTCTCGAGAAGTTGTTTTATTGTATTTAGGCATCAGGTTAGAGGGTTTGCAATATTCTGTTGATGGATACCTGCAATTATGTGTTTCGGTTTCAGGTGCCTAATAAAAATACCTCCAGGGCAGGAAAGCTAAAGTCGTGTTATAGTTATCAGTTGAACTAGTGTTATTAAGTAGTTTGGGTTAATCAGTAGCCCATAAACCTTGCCCTGTAAAAGATCTAATAGGTTGCTAATAATGAGAGCGAGCTTAGCTTAAATGAATCAATTATAATCGGTTGATGACTAGCTCATAAACTTATTTACCATTCAAAAGACTCAATGCGACCTCCAACATTGATAATCAAGGTGCTCAAAATTAAGATAAAAGGATAAGCAATAATTTAAACCAATAACATTTTATAAACATAAAAAAAAAAAAAAAATCTTCCTGAAAAATCACACATACTTATATAATATTATATA